GTTCAGCGATGTCTTGAAAGAAGAAAAACCACAGCGGGGTGCCGTGCCGAAACTGCCGGCTCCTGGGGCATCCGCTCCGGGGATGTGTGTCTCGCCGTGTGCCGCCAGAGCTGCTCGGCAGCTCGTGCCCTGCGGTGGAACACCCGATGGAAGAACAGTCCGAGCGGAGTCTCCCGAAGGCAGCGGGGCTGTGGCTGGGTTTGATCCCGGGCAGGTGAATTTTGCAGCTGAAGGCATTCTGCTGAGAAACAGCTACGCCTGCCCCCGGGGATGCACTCGTCCCGGCATCTCAGGCAGCTGCTGCGTGCGAGGCCACGGTTCCCACCACACGGAGAAGGTTCTCGAGCTGTCCCGGAGCACTGGAAGGGCAGGAGGGTCTGGGTCCTGCGTTCCTGCCGTGGGTGCTGCAGCTCTGCTCTCTTCCAGCTCCCCAGTGTCGCTGTACAACCGAGCTGCGACACACGCTGACGGCATTTGCAGGAGCAAACTTGTTCTGCGTCCTCGATCGGTGCCCCTTTGCTCCGCCAATCCTCTCTGGAGCTGCTTGCAGGAAAAAAACAGATGGTTGTGGAAAAGTGAGGCTCGTGCTGCGCTGGGGCACTGCCAGAGCCGGTACTGAAACGTGTTTGATGCAGAACCTCATGTCAAAAGGCAAGTGGAAGATAGAGTGGAGAAGATGGGCTGTAACATCTCTCTCTGGTCTCCTGCCTGTGCCTCTCAGGGCAGATGGGACTGTGGCTTCTCCTTTCCAGTCCCTAAAGCGGCTACAGAAGAGTTGGGGAAGGACTTTTTACAAGGACATGTAGTGATAGGGTGAGGGGGAACGGCTTCAAACTGGAAGAAGGGAGATTGAGATGAGATCTCAGGAAGAAATTCTTGGCTGTGCGGGTGGTGATCCCCTGGGGCAGGTTGCCCCGAGAAGCTGTGGCTGCCCCATCCCTGGAGGTGTTCAAGGCCAGGTTGGACGGGGCTTGGAGCAACCTGGGCTGGGGGGAGGTGTCCCTGCCCAGGGCAGGGAGGGGAACTGGGTGATCTTTAAGGTCCCTTCTAACCCAAACCATTCCATGATTCTCCAAGCCGAAACAGAGCGCTTGCGGAGATGCCCACAGCGTGAAGGTGGCGTTAGCTTTATAAACATGCTGAGGACATTTGTTTTAAAATATGCCTGCAAGGTAAAAAAACTGCTGCGGGGGGGTCTGGCTGCAGCGAGACCGACTGTGCTTTGTGTCAAAGGCCGTTTGCACCAGGAGCTGCGGCCGCGGCGCGGGGCTGAGCTGCGGCTAACGCGGATCTCGCCTGGTCCGGCGGGGCCAAACCACACCGAGCGGGTCCGGGTGCGGAAGAGACCCCATGTCTGCGCAGCATCCCGGGCAGCGCGGTGGCTGGCCCTGCTTCTCACCAGGGACCTGGGGGGGCAGTTCCCCCCCCCAAAAAAAACCCAACACCCCCCTTGTGAGTCCCGCAGGCACCTGCGGGGGCTGTCAGAGGGGGTTTCCAGGCTGCTGCGATGCTGTAGGGCCCCCTGTTCCTTCTCAGCACCTCCCTGCCCAGCCCGCATCCCCCGAGAGCCCCACTGCCTCCCACCCCGGGCAGAGCAGGAACTGTCCCCCCGGCTTCAGGGGCAGCGGGGAGCGGGCGTGCGCGTGTCTGCACTTGTGTCTTTGTGTGTGTGTGCGTGTGTCTCTTTGCGTGTGTGCTCGTGTCTCTGTGTGTGTGTGGCAGAGGCTGCAGTCTCTTGCCTGTGGGGCTGGTCCAGGGGAAGGGAGGCTTTGGTACCCGGTGGGGAGGATGATGTTTCCCTCCAGCGCCGGGCTTTGCTGTGTAATTTCAGTACAGGGTGACGCAGAGTGAAAGTGTCATCGAGTCTTGTTTTCACTGTGCGGAGGAGATGCGCTGAGGCCAAGCCCTGCGGTGGTGCGGAGCATCGCACG